GGGGTGGAAGCTGGGGTGGAATGCTGGGGTGGAAGCATGTGGGTAGGCAGCTGGGGTGGTGGTTGGGTTGTGAAGCTGGAGGGTGGGAAGCTGGGAGTGGAAGCTGGGGTGGAAGCTGGGTGGGTGGTGGGGTGGAAGCTGGGGTGGTGGTGGGGTGGAAGCTGGGTGGGAAGCATGGGGTGGAAGCTGGGGTGGTGGGTGGTGGGTGTGATCAGCTGGGGTATGAAGCTGGGTGGAAGCTGGGGTGGAAAGCTGGGGTGGTGGTGGTGGTGTAAGCTGGGGTGGGCTGGGGTGGAAGCTGGGGTGGAAGCTGGGGTGGTGGTGGGGCAGGCGAGCAGCAGCAACATGAAACACAGCAGCAGCATAGCGAGGCAGAGGCAGGAAGACCTGGCAGCTTCAATAGAGCGGCATGTTTAGGAGAATGTGTTTGGTTGGTTGTTAGAGGGACGAGGTGCGTCACGCAGTAATGTATCATCGGTGCTCGAGTTCACTGCCTGAACTAGCTCGCAGGCTTTACCCCATTTTTTTTTCAAGTTAACTCTAATGAACTGAATAACTATGAATTATAATGATACCGTTTCTGTAACGTTTTGTTTTGTTTATGGACTGCTCTAGTTTTATGTTGTGTTATTATTTATAGAAAGCAGAACGTAGTGTGCGTTCTCGAGAATAAATGACGCAGGAAGTCGTAACAAGTTTTTGACCGCACACATCCTGTGGGTTTTGTTTGTTTATTTCATTTCAATCAGGAGAGACTTCATTTTGTTTACAGAACATTTATTGACACATGTCATGTGATAAATGTGAAGTCTTTGGCGATTAGACTCGATCCTGAAATCGTATATCTAAAGGGGGAAATGCAGCCGTGAGCAAATAGGGAACCCCAGGGGCGGTTCTAACAATGCATTTTTTTTTTTTTTTTTTTAATGTATATTCTCTGGTACTCGGTTTGCCAAAAACCGCAGGATTTTGTTGCTGTAATGTGAGATTGTGCAGACACCCTTATGTAGAGTAGAGATGTAACTGTTCATTGCCTTTATTTTTATATAAATATGGTGTTAGTGCAAACATTGCACTATAACTTAAGCTGAAGCTAACAGTAATAACTATAAGATCTATCTGAAATAAATAAGTGTACTGAAACAAATACCAATAACTGTATTGCATTGTTTTCTTATGCGCAATTACTTCATACCGTCTAGTTCTCTTTTTCGTCCTGCATTTATTGAGTCCCCCTCAGAAAATAACTGGCCCCCCCAGTGGCCCCCCCAGTCAAATTGGTCTAGAACCGCCACTGGGGAACCCCCCGGGGTCTAGCCACTGGTGATGATGCTGAAGATCTGGATTTGATGAGGAGGTGTGATGAGGTCTTTGGATTGGCTCTCCTGGCACTGGATGTGATGAAAGGAGGTGGATGGGGAGGAGGCGGGCCTCAGCAGGAACACCTGAAATCACGCTGACTGCAGGAGAGAGGAGAACCATTTTAAAGTTTGGCTGCAGCACGCTGATTGGCTGCTGGAGAATGAGGTGAATGTAATAGGTTAACAGGAAGCCCATGATGAGCTGATTATAAGCAGCTGCGGAGTGAATGTGTACCAGTCTTCCTGAAAGAACTTGCGCTGAGCTTCAGTTCAATCAGGAGGGACTTCATTTTGTTTAAAGAACATTTATTGACACATGTCATGTGATCAATGTTATGTCTTTGGCAATTAGACCCGATCCTGAAATGGTATATCTAAAGGGGGGATGCAGCCCACTTGACGAAGGATTTGACCTTACCAGGTGGCATGGATTCTGCTGAGACAGGATTGAGGATTTAGACCGAGATGTATGCAGTGAGGCAGACATGTATATAAATGATGTAGATAAGGAGCCTGACTGCGGAAAAGAGAAACCCCAAAAACGAATGATGCGATGCAATGACTCATTACCATAATATCCGAGAGTGATATGATAGTAGTGCTGCGCTGAATGTGGCCATGTACTTACCTTACGTGATGCGACGAGTCTAAACTGGGAAGCAAGCAAGGGTTAGACAGGAATGTGCGCGGAGAGAGAAGGAACATAGGATGGGATGAGCTGCCTGTGATACTGACTATTGCATGGAGCAGGACTTCTGATGGCTCAGGCAGTCTGCTGGGATAAGTGGGAGAGGCATAGCATGTGGTAAAACATTATCTTAGAAGGATGCCACCACCACCAGTTATATGCATAGCTTACCGTAGGAGTTTAAGAGTCTTTGATTAGCCAGTGCAGATGGGATAGGGCATGCGTTCATCATTATAAAACAGAGAATGAACAGGACAGGGATCCAATTAGATGAAACCGTTCTGGAGAAGTGCTGATTAATGAATAATGTAATGCAATGAAGGTACTCTGCAGATGATTAAAACGTGAGCTGAGTGAGTGACTCATTGCTGTGAGAGACATACGCTCATGAGTTCTTTATATTGCATCCATTCCTTATGACGGAAAAGTGTGCACTGAGACCTTAGCTGAGGTCTGCTATTGAGGTACCAGAGGGAGGGGATCGCATGAAGCAAGCACGGTTTGCACCACCTCCAGCTATATGCATGAATATTTTTTATATTTATTCATTTTATAAATATATAATTTTTTTATCCGGACGGCCCCAACACTTAAAGGGGCGCCGAGATACGAATCTGATGAGACACGGAGGCGATCGCGTAAACGTGCTGTGAACACGGATAAACGTCACTTATCTGCTGGTTCAATTTCCTGGGAGGGATTGAATGCGGCGTAGATTGAATGCGGCGTAGATTGAATGCGGCGTAGATTGAATGTGGCGTAGAGGGCCTGTGTTCGCGGATCAGCTGATCGAGGGGCCTCGACTCCGTTCTGATACCGGATCGGCTTGTGCGCTTATGCCGGGACGTACCCGTGTTTCTGCCGATGGAGGTCTTCTCCTCTAGCTCTTGCTTGATATCTGCTACGAGGGTCTGAAACGGGTATGTCGGCAGCATGAACACCTGAAATCACAACTGACTGCAGGAGAGAGGAGAACCATTTTAAAGTTTGGCTGCAGCACACTGATTGGCTGCTGAGATTGAGGTGAATGTAATAGGTTAGCAGGAAGCCCGTGATGAGCTGATTATAAGCAGCTGCGAAGTGAATGTGTACCAGTCTTCCTGAAAGAACTTGCGCTGATCTTCATTTCAATGCAAATGTTGCAAGTCGGTAGTGGGCCGCCAGCTGATCCATTGCACTTTAGAATAAAGCACTTGAATGGAACGATGCATCTGGATTTCTTAAATGTACGCAAGTCAATACTCAAATTCTCCTCGTGGGCTAACTGGCCTTTGAACAATAGGCACGTTCACACCGCAGTACTTTTCCCACAAAGGTTCATCAGAACTTAGTTCAGATCGCGTTCACACCGGAATAAGTCCCTGGGGAGGATTAGTCAAATGAAGCCGCTGACGTCACTTCTTCTTCTTCTTCTTCTGCTTCGGGTTTACTGGCAGGCCGCAAACCACTTCACGGCGTATACTGCCACCCGGAGTCCCCGGAGTGGGGGAAGGCCGCCAGAACGCCGACACCTCCTCATCTCCACCGCTCCCATGTTTTCTTTTGTGTTGCCATAAATTAGTCTATCTGCGTTTCTGCGCTGGGCTAATGCTAATGCTAATAATGCTAATGCGAGGATAATAAAATGGCGGCTTCACAAAACCTTTTGGGAGTTTTACGGGGCGTGGTTTGTAATCCTTCCAGCCAATCAGACACAAGAACCTTGTTCTCCCACAAAAGTCCCTGCTCTCTAGCAGGGACGGAAAAGGGGGTGAAAAGGTTCTCATGAACTAATTTTAGTTCCGGATTTTTTTGGTGTGAACGAGACATTTCAGAACTAAAGTGGGAAAAGTACTGCGGTGTGAACGCACGTATTATGCATAATCGGCCACTAGACATAGGTTGGGTAAAGACTTCCAGACAGTGGCATTTTATATGTGTTAGGGCTTTTGTAAAGTGTTGCTTTCTTAAGATTTTAAGTAGGCTATATGTTTTTTTTAAAGTTTGCATTTTTTATTTAGGCAATTTCTTGTTTTATTGATCTAGAATTGTGATTTTTAACCTTATTTATGTTATAAGGTTATTTAATTGCCTCTTACTGCACTGTTTATCATTTGTTAGCGGTTGGGTTTGTTGTGCAAACAATTCAAATAAATAAAATCCTTAAAATTCATCCTAAAGCTGCAGTTTTTCGCCAAGTAGGTTTGAATTTGCTTTGGTGAGTATGTAAACACAGGAAGAGAAATAAGAAATAGTATGAACATTATTATGAAAGTAATAAGAGTATGAGAAAGGTCACTAGAAAATATTAAAGTGAAATACACACACCCCTCCTTTACTGTAATATATGTGAGGGGGAAGTTGGCACATTGAGACAATATTGATTAAACGTCGACACTTATATGCAAATCAACTGCGACTTATTTGAAGATATTGATTTTAATTTGCATTTTCGAGCAAATGGCAAACTTTCTGAGTATGTGTTTAACTTTTGAAATCAGTGCCTGCACCACAGAGCCCAATTTAGAAGATTTAGTTCAAATACAACTCAATTAAAGGTTGTTTCCTACACTTGGGAGCAACTTTATTTCAATGTAGAAAGTCAAAATAAATACGAATAAATCCCCAAATTGCACCAAATAACCTCATTTCAAAGATTAAGATTAAAAAAAAAAGTTTACTCAATTGATCTGTTGTTTCCTACACTTTGGAAAACTGAAGTTAAATATGAATACATCCGAGTATTGGATCTTCTCACAGACATGCAGTACAGTAAGGACCCGCTGCAGTTACCTCAGAATCTGCAAGAGGAGAGCGGCTGAAAGGAAACACAAACAATCAGAGGAATGAGAATGAAAAGCTCTTGTGTTTGCATGCAGAGGAAAAGTCTCCTCTCTCCGCTCCGCTCCTCGCACCATTTACAAAAACTGCACTTTTCGGATCAGTGGGTTCATTCACGGCCTGTAATGGCCTCTCTTTTCCCACCAATAAATCTGCCTCAGTGTGCAGCGAGGAGGACAGAGGGGCGAGGAGGACAGAGGGGGGCGAGGAGGACAGAGGGGTGAGGAGGACAGAGGGGGGCGAGGAGGACAGAGGGGTGAGGAGGACAGAGGGGTGAGGAGGACAGAGGGGCGAGGAGGACAGAGGGGCGAGGAGGACAGAGGAGTGAGGAGGACAGAGGGGTGAGGAGGACAGAGGGGTGAGGAGGACAGAGGGGTGAGGAGGACAGAGAGGGGTGAGGAGAACAGAGAGGGGCGAGGAGGACAGAGGGGTGAGGGGGACAGAGGGGGGCGAGGAGGACAGAGGGGTGAGGAGGACAGAGGGGCGAGGAGGACAGAGAGGGGTGAGGAGAACAGAGAGGGGCGAGGAGGACAGAGGGGTGAGGAGGACAGAGGGGTGAGGAGGACAGAGGGGCGAGGAGGACAGAGAGGGGCGAGGAGGACAGAGGGGTGAGGAGGACAGAGGGGTGAGGAGGACAGAGAGGGGCGAGGAGGGACAGAGGGGTGATGAGGACAGAGGGGTGAGGAGGGAACAGAGGGGTGAGGAGGACAGAGGGGTGAGGAGGACAGAGGGGTGAGGAGGACAGAGGGGTGATGAGGACAGAGGGGTGAGGAGGGAACAGAGGGGTGAGGAGGACAGAGGGGGGTGAGGAGGACAGAGGGGGGAGGAGGACAGAGGGGGGTGAGGAGGACAGAGGGGTGAGGAGGACAGAGGGGTGAGGAGGACAGAGGGGTGAGGAGGACAGAGAGGGGTGAGGAGGACAGAGGGGTGATGAGGACAGAGGACACTTATTGTTTGTCAAAATGTGACTTTCTAAGATAAGTATGTTAGCAGAGGAGGGAGAAGTACTCAGATCTTGTACTTGAGTAAAGTAGAAGTACTCAGATCTTGTACTTGAGTAAAGTAGAAGTACTCAGGTCTTGTACTTGAGTAAAAGTAGAAGTACTCAGATCTTGTACTTGAGTAAAGTAGAAGTACTCAGATCTTGTACTTGAGTAAAAGTAGAAGTACTCAGATCTTGTACTTGAGTAAAAGTAGAAGTACTCAGATATTGTACTTGAGTAAAAGTAGAAGTACTCAGATCTTGGACTTGAGTAAAGTAGAAGTACTCAGATCTTGTACTTGAGTAAAAGTAGAATTACTCAGATCTTGTACTTGAGTAAAAGTAGAAGTACTCAGATATTGTACTTGAGTAAAAGTAGAAGTACTCAGATCTTGTACTTGAGTAAAAGTAGAAGTACTCAGATCTTGTACTTGAGTAAAAGTAGAAGTACTCAGATCTTGGACTTGAGTAAAGTAGAAGTACTCAGATCTTGTACTTGAGTAAAAGTAGAATTACTCAGATCTTGTACTTGAGTAAAAGTAGAAGTACTCAGATATTGTACTTGAGTAAAAGTAGAAGTACTCAGATCTTGTACTTGAGTAAAAGTAGAAGTACTCAGATCTTGTACTTGAGTAAAGTAGAAGTACTCAGATCTTGTACTTGAGTTAAAGTAGAAGTACTCAGATATTGTACTTGAGTAAAAGTAGAAGTACTCAGATCTTGTACTTGAGTAAAAGTAGAAGTACTCAGATCTTGTACTTGGGTAAAAGTAGAAGTACTCAGATCTTGTACTTGAGTAAAAGTAGAATTACTCAGATCTTGTACTTGAGTAAAAATAGAAGTACTCAGATCTTGTACTTGAGTAAAAGTAGAAGTACCAGAGTGTAGGAATACTCTGTTACAGTAAAAGTCCTTAATTAAAAATGTTCCTCAAGTAAAAGTAGAAAAGTATGATCAACATATAGTTGAAGTTGTTGTTTAGTTAAAGGCTGCACCCTCATTCCCCATCTCAGTGTGAAAGGGTATAAAACAATATGTGCAGCTTGTGAAAGTAAACAAGTCTTTCAAATATTTTAATTACTCACACTGTCCACTTTAACCCCGGGTGGAGCTTCAGAAGCACGATGACCCCTGAACGCATCGCTGTGGGGTCAGATGTTCAAACCTCCACCTGGACCACACATGCAAACCCTGAGAAAAGAGAAGTGTGTGTGTGTCCCAATAAAAAGGGAGGTGTGTCTTTTAATTTCCATTAGGGAACAGACCTTTAGTAGTCTTTACCAATATCAGTAAAAATATCCTTGAAACCCATTGGATCACACATTAGGTAAACAAAATAGATGTTATGAACCCTTGTGTTATGTTCACATTTCGCACCCTTTGGTAATGTTCGGGTCAAATTGACCCGGGACATATTTCAGGGTTTTAAAAAAAATACAGAACTAAATTCAACATGCACAATTCCTTATATATATAGTCTTTAACTCATTCCCCAACAATATAAATGAAATATATGATAGTTTTTTAATATACTCTTTGCTGGATCAAATGCAATGGAAGTGTCCATCGTTTTTTGTGATACATTTTTTATTTATGTTAAAAAAAATACACTGTAATAAAAACTAGGTTTACATTTTGCTCATGCTTTTCTAGGACTAATGTTAATGAAAATGTTTTTCATTAATGTTTATTATTGTTAATCTGTCATATAATAATCAAAGCCCTGAAGGAAATAAAGCCATTTAGCAGCAATTGGAACAAGAACCACATCCAAAAGTATTTGGCTGTGAAATATAGAGAGAATGAAACATCCATATAAATGACAGAACAGATATAAACACAAAGCAAATTAAAACAATTAACAGTCACTATTCATAAAATACAGAATATCCGACGCTGCAGAACATCATGTGATCAATGGGCAGGTCCGTTTAGGAAACACATCATGTGATCAATGCAGGTCCGTTTAGGAAACACATCATGTGATCAATGGGCAGGTCCGTTTAGGAAACACATCATGTGATCAATGGGCAGGTCCGTTTAGGAAACACATCATGTGATCAATGGGCAGGTCCGTTTAGGAAACACATCATGTGATCAATGAGCAGGTCCGTTTAGGAAACACATCATGTGATCAATGGGCAGGTCCGTTTAGGAAACACATCATGTGATCAATGCAGGTCCGTTTAGGAAACACATCATGTGATCAATGCAGGTCCGTTTAGGAAACACATCATGTGATCAATGGGCAGGTCCGTTTAGGAAACACATGATGTGCAGAACTTCTTCCTGTGTATAGCACAGATGTACTTGTTGCAGTTGCTGCATATAGTCTGTGTCTTGGAGTCCTTTGAGGGTCCACAGACCTCACAGCTGGCTGTGGGGGTCTTCCAGCAGCTGGCTGTGGGGGTCTTTCAGAAGCTGACTGTGGGGGTCCTTCAGCAGCTGGCTGTGGGGGTCTTCCAGCAGCTGGCTGTGGGGGTCTTTCAGAAGCTGACTGTGGGGGTCCTTCAGAAGCTGACTGTGGGGGTCCTTCAGAAGCTGACTGTGGGGGTCTTCCAGCAGATGGCTATGAGTCAAGTTCATCTTCCAATTTGCTGTAAAATTCTGAGTTGACCTCCACATTATCTTCATCTTCAGAAATGTCTTCCTGTCCCACTTCACCGTGTTCCTCTAATGCATTCCACTCACTCTCATCCAGTATTAGCTCCAAGGCTCTGAGCAGAATATCTTTTGGCCATTTTGCTGGTAGATAATTGTAGTTCTGCACTACACTGTTACTACACTGAGGTTATGTCTCTGTTTAGTCCCTCCTCCAGCATGCAGGTGCGAGGGGGGACAGTGCGAGAACATTTAAAATGTTTATACATTTCTGGAAGATCTAAAATGTTTATAATGTTCTAGGATAGTTTTGTGTACACACTACAAAGGGTAAAGATCAAGGGAAAACAGGATCAAACAGCTTCTCTGTGCATACAATTGTGTGTGTGTGTGTGTGTGTGTTTCTGTGTGTGTTTCTCTGTCTGTCTGTCCTGGTATTGTATCCGGGTCAGATTGACCCGAACCTCTTATGAAGGACATACATGGGATGGGCATTTTTTCACAAGTGGAAAAAAATAAAAACAATTCCACATGTCCTTCACAATAAATAAGCCCCGAATTTTTTTATTCATTGAAAATGGAAATCGCGTCAATTTGACCCGAACACCACACAAGGGTTAAGGCCGTTTTTTAATGAAAGACTTTGTATACCATCTATTATTGGTATTACATTGTCTCGTGAGAATATTGAGTGTTAAAATAAGCAGGATAAGAGCTAGTTAGCTGTTAGCCGACACTAGGCAGCACAGTCCTGCTAACGGCTAAATAACAGAGCTAATGCTAACGGAGGATACATTGAGTGTCTCCTCTGGCAAGACCCTTCACCCTAAATCGCTCCTGTGGGTTTGTCCACAGCATTGATGAATTACATGGGTGATATATTTCATGTAAAGCACTTTGAGCACTTGGAAAATCAATAAAAGATATACCAAGAATTATTATTAAAATGATAACCTGCGTTTAGTATTTGGCTAGATAACAGAGATAACAGCTAATGCTAACTGAGGTAATTTAAAGGGAAATAAAAATGTAATTGTGTGACAACCCTTAACTTTTATGATAAAACACAAAGAAAGTAAAGCTTTATTAAAACGTTATGACAACAGAGGCTATTTTGAAACTGGATGCAAACCTGTTTCTGTGAACACAAGTAATCATTAGTACTAATTATCAACGTTTACCTTGTTGTGATATCTTGTTTTATCAGTTACTTTATATTTTGTAACTTTCACTCACACTCTGTTGATGTGCTTTAAACTCCTGAATTTCCCTACAGGGATAAATAAAGGTCCATCTTATAGTATCTTAGTAAAAAGCTCATAAATATTCGTGGAAAAGACAAAAACCGACGGTAATAATCCAACAGAAAAGGCAACAACTGATCCATTTATTCACCTTATCATCAAATATGTACAAGCTAAAAAAAGTGTTACCCAACAGGTCAGTCAATATGCATATGATGGGGGGGGGGGAATCTGAATAAATGATGCACATGTTCGACTACAATGACATAAAACCGCTAAGTAAGGGAGAAAATACTGGAACAAAACTAAATACAGTAAGTAAAGTCCGAATTTTCTCCAAATGTCACTTTCAAATGAAGATATACAATCCAGGAGATAGTCTTTAGATGTGAGGGTGTTGGTTGGTTGGTTGGTTGGTAAAAAAACGTACATTGAGAGTCCATATTGTCATTCGTCTGCTTTCTGATCTTTCTCACATTTATAATGAGCACAGGGAAGGGCTGGGAAACACACCGATGTTATCTCGACATCTGGATACAAGAATGGATAACATAGATGGATTTAAGATATCGTAAGAGGTGTTTTTTCATGGTTTGAGAGTAAAAATCCACATTACTGATGAGCTTTTATCTACATTTCCATCGTGTAATCACTTTGTGACTCAAATATCGATAGAAGTCCGAAAACGTCCCGATATCTGAGTTTTCCTCACATCTCCCAGCCCTACACTCAGGTGTTGCAGCTTCCTGTTCTTCTTGTAGTGGAGATCATTGCTTGGCCTTCTTCAGGATGGTTCCCACGGCGGAGATGACGGTGGTCTTGGTGCCGCTGGCGGTGGTGGTGACGGAGACGACGGCCGGTAACGAGGAGCTGGTGGTGATGGCGGCGGGCTGGGAAAGAGTCACGGGGATCGCCGAGTCCCATTTACTCTTCCTCTTCTGGGCCTCTGAGGACAAACACACACAGGAGGGATTCACGTGAGATCAGGAAGGAACAGGAAGGGATGATTAAGGGCTTCTAATATGTATTTTTCTGCTGTTAGTTGGCCATCAAAACAATAACAGCACAACAACACAATAATGGCGTAGCGTATCATTGCAGTTAGCTTCTCCTGGTTAGCATTAGCTATTGTTTTCACAATAACATTTATGTTCAATTAATTCATTTCTTATTTTAACTTAAAGGTGGGGTAGGTCATTCTGGAGAAACCAGCTCGAGTGGCTAGAATTTGAAAATACACAGCCGGAACAAATCTGCCTCTTCCTCACAGAGCCCCTCCCCCAACACACACGAACGCGCACATGACCAATGAGGGCACGAGATAAGTTTGTGCCCAGATGGAAGGCTGACAGGCAGGTAGGCCATCCAGTTACTTTAGCCGGCTCAGATGATTGGTCGTGTTTTTTACAGCGCCACGGCTTCAAAGCACTTCAGATATTCATTGCTATCGGGATGTTCAGAGCATTCCATGGAATATAACAAGTGTATCTCGAGCCGGTTTCTCAAACTTACCTACCCCACCTTTAACTGTATATAACATTTTATTTTAGATTTTATTAATCTTTAATTTTGTGTGATCTGTGCTGTCCTGTTTTTCATTCTCACCCTGTTGCTATTTAAACTACCGAATTTCCCCACGGAGATTAATAAAGGTCCATCTTATCTGTTCTTATAACTATTTTTCAGGATCTTTTAACTGGATCATCCACAGAGAGCCCCTCTCTCCAAAACTAACAGACGTTGTAAGTAAAACTGGTTTAAACACTGAAAAAAAGCAGTTTTTAAGATAAAAATGTGTAATTTTCATGGGATACTGGGCGTAAGGGCTACGAGCTAAAAGCTAACAATTGTTCCTCTAATAATAAGATCCAGTTGTTCAGGAGTTTATTTTTCTGATGCCGAATTATCCACAAAGATCTTATTCTCTCAAAAACAAACAGACCCACTCATTAAAAGCAGAAATAGAAATTCACTACGTTTGTGTTTCTGTAAAATAGGAGAAAGGGGCTACGAGCTAAATGCTAACGTAACACGCTTGTCTCTGTAAGATCCAGATGTCCAGGACGTTTTTACCGGGACAAAAACAACAAAATATGTGAGTCAACAAAACGCTCTTCTTCTGAGATGCAAATAAGATATGGATTTAATTATTTAGGGACTTAAAACATTCTTTAAATGTGATGGACTTAAAAGGACAGTGAACTCAAACGTCAGGCCAGGTGATTTATCTGCGTTGTTGTGTTGGATGTTTACCTGTAGACGTGGTGGAGGTGTTGCTGCTGTTGGTGGAGGCCGCGGTGTTCGAGGGGTTGTTGCCCTTCTTCGTCCCCGTGACAAACTCAATCTGTGAAACACACTGAATACTATAAAAGTTTTGTTTTATGTGAAACCATTTTGAAACAACAACCGCATCAAGGGCACATAGGTCTCTGTTATTATTATGTATTATGTATTAAGACTTCACTATGCTACACTAGTGCTCCTATTGGCTAAGCTTCAACACATCTTAGTGATAGGCAAAGGGGCGGGACATCTCTATGAGGTGGACTAATCACAACAGAGCCGGCCAGCTAACCAATCAGAGCAGACTGGGCTCTGGTTTCAGACAGAGGGTGAAAAGAAGTGCTGCAGCAACATTACAGCATGGAGACATGTCCCAGTAGAGACATACTGATATACACCTGAACATCAGCAGGAGAGGACTCTTTAAAGTAGAGACACTACATACTGATATACACCTGAACATCAGCAGGAGAGGACTCTTTAAAGTAGAGACACTACATACTGATATACACCTGAACATCAGCAGGAGAGGACTCTTTAAAGTAGAGACACTACATACTGATATACACCTGAACATCAGCAGGAGAGGACTCTTTAAAGTAGAGACACTACATACTGATATACACCTGAACATCAACAGGAGAGGACTCTTTAAAGTAGAGACACTACATACTGATATACACCTGAACATCAGCAGGAGAGGACTCTTTAAAGTAGAGACACTACATACTGATATACACCTGAACATTAGCAGGAGAGGACTCTTTAAAGTAGAGACACTACATACTGAAATACACCTGAACATCAGCAGGAGAGGACTCTTTAAAGTAGAGACACTACATACTGATATACACCTGAACATCATCAGGAGAGAACTCTTTAAAGTAGAGACACTACATACTGATATACACCTGAACATCAGCAGGAGAGGACTCTTTAAAGTAGAGACACTACATACTGATATACACCTGAACATCAGCAGGAGAGGACTCTTTAAAGTAGATACACTACATACTGATCTACACCTGAACATCAGCAGGAGAGGACTCTTTAAAGTAGAGACACTACATACTGATATACACCTGAACATCAGCAGCAGAGGACTCTTTAAAGTAGAGACACTACATACTGATATACACCTGAACATCAGCAGCAGAGGACTCTTTAAAGTAGAGACACTACATACTGATATACACCTGAACATCAGCAGGAGAGGACTCTTTAAAGTAGAGACACTACATACTGATATACACCTGAACATCAGCAGGAGAGGACTCTTTAAAGTAGAGACACTACATACTGATATACACCTGAACATCAGCAGGAGAGGACTCTTTAAAGTAGAGACACTACATACTGATATACACCTGAACATCAGCAGGAGAGGACTCTTTAAAGTAGAGACACTACTTACTGATATACACCTGAACATCAGCAGGAGAGGACTCTTTAAAGTAGATACACTACATACTGATATACACCTGAACATCAGCAGGAGAGGACTCTTTAAAGTAGAGACACTACATACTGATATACACCTGAACATCAGCAGGAGAGGACTCTTTAAAGTAGAGACACTATATACTGATATACACCTGAACATCAGCAGGAGAGGACTCTTTAAAGTAGAGACACTACATACTGATATACACCTGAACATCAGCAGGAGAGGACTCTTTAAAGGAGAGACACTACATACTGATATACACCTGAACATCAGCAGGAGAGGACTCTTTAAAGTAGAGACACTACATACTGATATACACCTGAACATCAGCAGGAGAGGACTCTTTAAAGTAGAGACACTACATACTGATATACACCTGAACATCATCAGGAGAGAACTCTTTAAAGTAGAGACACTACATACTGATATACACCTGAACATCAGCAGGAGAGGACTCTTTAAAGTAGAGACACTATATACACCTGAACATCAGCAGGAGAGGACTCTTTAAAGTAGATACACTACATACTGATAGGGACTCTTTAAAGCCTCTGTACTATCCCTTCAGTTTGCTCCTGCCTGCATACCTTCACAGCAGAGAATAATAAATCTGATCCTGAGGGAACGTGTTCATTCACGTCTAGTTTCTACCGTACGATTCTTTCACCTCTCAACGATTAGTCAGCAGGATCTATCTGGCAAAATAAAGACATACTCAGGTGTTTTAAAATCTACACAAGGTGTGAAAAACACGTACGGGCCGCTGCAGTTACGAGAGCAGAACTTGGCAAATGTGGAATTCTTCGTAAGTCTGACGGAAAGTAAATAACCTAACCTCAGCTGGTGGAGACTTGCCCTTGACGCAGACACAAAAAAATGTTTAAAATGCTCTTATTGTTGTTGTTTTTAAACTCACCTTGGTGCGCTCCTTCTTGGCTTTCTCCAGTTTGTCCATCTCCACCTTCTGAGATTTGGCTGCAGGGATAAGACACAGAAGCGATGAGTGTTTGTCACGTTGAGTTGCTCAAAAATGTGAAGACGATGAAGGTTTTATTGAGCTTACCCAAGCCTTCGTAGTACGAGTCCTCCGACCAGCCGTGGGGATCGAACATGTCTTTCGGGTAATTTGTTCCCAGTTCGTCTATACTGCAGAACTGAATGAGCTTCTCGTAAATGCTGGACAAAAAAACAACAAAGAAAAAGTGGTTTGTTATTTTGAACATCGGCAACGTCACTATATGTCTTTATCATGAAGGAGACTAATGGCGCGTTTCCACTGCAGCGGGTTGCTCGCTTTAAGCGTGCCGAGCCGTGCGGGGCCCGTTTTTGGTTGCGTTTCCACTTGGCCTAGTACCGGCTAGCGGGTCCTAATTCACAGTTTTTCTGGCCCCATAAAATCGTGGTTCTAGGGCCAGGAACAACCAGACACTACATACTGATATACACCTGAACATCAGCAGGAGAGGACTCTTTAAAAGGAATGGTATGCTCATGACACTCATTTTTAAATAATTATCATCCGATAAAACAGACCAGTCTCTGCCAGTCTTCTTTTTTTTTGTTTTTATCCGATGACATTATCAGTGATTTTAAACGGATTAATTACCGAAATAACATCAACCCTGTGGGCGGCGCCATTTTACCGGACGTGACGTAAACCATGCGTTTGGTTTCGAGGACACGTTGATGTTCATGTTCTTTACTGTAGTTACTCTCTTCAAATATGCCTCATTGTATCGCGAAACATTGCCACAATTCTGATAGGAACAATCCACGGAATGCTCGGTTCCATCTGTTGCCAAAAGGTAAGCGTAGGAAGTACGTTCGGAGGCAGTGGCTAGCGAAATGTGGCCGGCCCGAACCGAAAGATCCACAGGCGCATGTATGCAGCGAACATTTCAAGTTTCCGGACGACTACTCTGAGAGTATGATAAAACATAACATGGGATTTATTGAACAACCATTACTTAATGGAGATGCAGTACCATCGGTCTTTCTGGTGTCATCACCGACCAGGACACCAGTTCGGCCAGTTGAGAAATCGCCCTCTGCAAGTGTGAAGCGACGGAGGACCAGAAGTAGTGCTCGGAGTAAGAATAAGGTATGTTATGGCGCATTTCCATTACAGCGGGTAGCCCCGTTCAAACGTCCTTTATCGTCCAGGCCAGGCCAGTTTTTGGTGGCCTTTCCATATAGCGTAGTACCGGCTAGTGGGTATTTCCCCCCAGTTTTTACGGCCCCATAAAATCGTGGTTCCAGGGCCAGGGACAACGAGGCTGAGTATGCTAAACTAGAGAGGGAATCGCTAGCAAGGGTGGTACTACATGCATACATATCTAGTAATCAAAATCCTTGTATCTACTAAGTAGTACTAAGTAGGCTCGAACCTGTATGGCTGAATTCCCCCTTCCAATCTCTTCATATTGCTCAAAACTTCTTCCTCGGCTGACGAGTCCGAACTCAAATACTCCATGTTTTCGTGTGTTTACAAAGTGAACGCATGGATGACGTCACGACCATCACGTGACTACTGAAAATGGGCAAAATGGCAGCGGCCTGACGGAATATACAGGTTTTGATCAAAAAGAGCTATAAAATCATTATTTACCGGGGAATATCGCTCATTTCTTCAGGGTATGGTTTAAACATAATGTTTCACTAAATACTGAAGTTTTGATTAATTATCTAATGAGTGGAGCATTCCTTTAAAGTAGAGACACTACATACTGATATACACGTGAACATCAGCAGGAGAGGACTCTTTAAAGTAGAGACACTACATACTGATATACACCTGAACATCAGCAGGAGAGGACTCTTTAAAGTAGAGACACTACATACTGATATACACCTGAACATCAGCAGGAGAGGACTCTTTAAAGTAGAGACACTACATACTGATATACACCTGAACATCAGCAGGAGAGGACTCTTTAAAGTAGAGACACTACATACTGATATACACCTGAACATCAGCAGGAGAGGACTCTTTAAAGTAGAGACACTACATACTGATATACACCTGAACATCAGCAGGAGAGGACTCTTTAAAGTAGAGACACTACATACTGATATACACCTGAACATCAGCAGGAGAGGACTCTTTAAAGTAGAGACACTACATACTGATATACACCTGAACATCAGCAGGAGAGGACTCTTTAAAGTAGAGACACTACATACTGATATACACCTGAACATCAGCAGGAGAGGACTCTTTAAAGTAGAGACACTACATACTGATATACACCTGAACATCAGCAGGAGAGGACTCTTTAAAGTAGAGACACTACATACTGATATACACCTGAACATCAGCAGGAGAGGACTCTTTAAAGTAGAGACACTACATACTGATATACACCTGAACATCAGCAGGAGAGGACTCTTTAAAGTAGAGACACTACATACTGATATACACCTGAACATCAGCAGGAGAGGACTCTTTAAAGTAGAGACACTACATACTGATATACACCTGAACATCAGCAGGAGAGGACTCTTTAAAGTAGAGACACTACATACTGATATACACCTGAACATCAGAGGAGAGGACTCTTTAAAGTAGAGACACTACATACTGATATACACCTGAACATCAGCAGGAGAGGACTCTTTAAAGTAGAGACACTACATACTGATATACACCTGAACATCATCAGGAGAGGACTCTTTAAAGTAGAGACACTACATACTGATATACACATGAACATCAGCAGGAGAGGACTCTTTAAAGTAGAGACACTACATACTGATATACACCTGAACATCATCAGGAGAGGACTCTTTAAAGTAGAGACACTACATACACCGTTACTTCCCTCTGTACCCGTAGTCTAGGAGGGAACGTAATACCTGACATTGAAGCATTATGGTATGTAAGCGATTATGTGGACACCATCTGGCCGTTCACCTCCTAACTAGGTCATTTTTTATCGTCGTCTCCTCAGTCGAGTGCATACCTGGGGTTTCTGAATTCCTTCTTCTTCTGGATGTGGTTGTTTGTGTCGAAGTCTCCCTGCAGCTTCCTCTCGTACAGCTTGTGGATCTTGTCCTGTTTCAAAACAAACAAAACAAACAGGTCATCAAATTATCTTCCTCCACCCTAGCACATTTGGCAGGACACCGTGTCGATGTCTGCAGAGAAACAGAACCTGCACGTGACGGCCGTGAATGGAGCTATTGTAGAAAAGCGGTTTCTGATGCATTGGGGAAATATTTGACGACCAGGTTCAACTCAGAGAGCTGGCAGAAGTCATGAGTGAGCTCACATGAGAACAGGAAGGAGGGACCGCTGCTGAAATGGGAAATATCTGCCAACTTCTTGTCAAATATAATGTAATATATAATAACAAGTGGTTGAGGAAATCTATTTTAAAACTGTCTTTTTTTATATACTAGTGCTGTCAAAATGATCGCGTTAACGGCGGTAATTCATTTTTTAAATTAATTGCGTTGAAATATTTAACGCATAACGCATACAGAATGGCCCGCCCCCATACGTGCCACCAGTGGCAGCGGCAGGGTATGGCTGGGGTAGGCTACACCCATACCAAGAGATGGCTTAGCCCCACCATGAAAAATGATGTTAAAGTAAGCAAAATAAAGTCTGCGGAGTAAACTGCACAGACAGCAGTTAGTCAGATTGATTTCAGCCACTTGTCTGGAAATACCGAAGACTAGAAACGGTTTTGAAAACTTTTGTCACGTAGTGATCGTCTTCTCAATAGAACATCTTTGATAATGTCTTCTGGCCAATCAGAATCAAGATAACGGCGTGGTGTTGTTGCAGGAAGTCCCGACGGAGAATACTTTTGCTGCATCTCTATACATCGATACAACATTACGTGTTGATAGAAATCAACACGTAATGAATTAAGACCCCACGGTTTGATGATTGATAGGTGTGTGGGCTTCTTTCATTTTGACACACAGAACAATGTTATAATAAACATACTGTATGTTAAATGGATATATCCGCCTTCTTTCATTTATCTTTCCATTCCCAACAATATACATCAAGAAATGGCATATTTTGGACATAGTTCGAATGGTGATTCATCTGATTAAAATGTTTAATCGTTTGACAGCCCTAACATTTCTGCATGTTTTTTTTTCAAATAATTTTAATTGTGTTTTTGTTGCATTTTGTCTTATTGCTGTTAATACATGTTTTTTTTAAAAGCACTTTGAATTGCTTTATGAAGAAAACATATTAGAAATGAGTTATTGGAGGGAAAAAAGACAAGGTTTTGTTTACATTTGCAGTTTGTTGCTGAACACAATGCATTAAGACGTCCAACTAATCTGCGTTTACGTATATGTTAGAGCCAGTGCCATCTAATTGTGATCTGTAGTCAAGACCGTATGAAGGACTACAATTCCCACCAGCCTCTAAAAAGACAGATGGGCAACCTGTGTGAAGACGCCGTCGAGGCACCGTTTTTAACCGTTAAAGTTATACAAGCCTAGGACTAAGTTGTTTATTATTTGATTTGAGTTTTGCCTCTTTTGTTTGACTATTGTAAAGGCCTGTTTTGAGTAAACACGCATAGTTTTGCTGCGGCTGCGAGGGAGTGCGGTCGTCTTTCAACCAGAAGGGTGTGGGTTCGATCCCAGCCCATGCAGTCAACATGTCGATGTATCCTTGGGCGAGATACTGAACCCTGAGTTTCTCCCGATGGCCAACGGTGTGAGAATGTCAGGTCCTAGAGTCAGGTGCACTGCTCTGTGTGAATGGGTAAAGCGCTATATACAGGGGTGCACATAACTTTTTTGCCCTGGTTCTCAAAGGAGCACCTGGAGATGTTGCTTGGTGCTCATCCTTAAAATGAAATAAACCGTAACTTTTGAGGGGATCTTTATTTGCCAGAAACACGGCACTGAACACACATGCAGAGGTGAACACAGAACACACATGCAGAGGTGAACACAGAACACACATGCAGAGGTGAACACAGAACACACACGCAGAGGTGAACACAGAACACACACACAGAGGTGAACACAGAACACACATGCAGAGGTGAACACAGAACACACATGCAGAGGTGAACACTGAACACACATGCAGAGGTGAACACAGAACACACACACAGAGGTGAACACAGAACACACATGCAGAGGTGAACACAGAACACACATGCAGAGGTGAACACAGAACACACATGCAGAGGTGAACACAGAACACACACACAGAGGTGAACACAGAACACACATGCAGAGGTGAACACAGAACACACATGCAGAGGTGAACACAGAACACACACACAGAGGTGAACACAGAACACACACACAGAGGTGAACACAGAACACACATGCAGAGGTGAACACAGAACACACACACAGAGGTGAACACAGAACACACATGCAGAGGTGAACACTGAACACACATGCAGAGGTGAACACAGAACACACATGCAGAGGTGAACACAGAACACACATGCAGAGGTGAACACAGAACACACATGCAGTGGTGAACACAGAACACACATGCAGAGGTGAACACAGAACACACACACAGAGGTGAACACAGAACACACACACAGAGGTGAACACAGAACACACACGCAGAGGTGAACACAGAACACGCATGCAGAGGTGAACACTGAACACACACACAGAGGTGAACACTGAACACACACACAGAGGTGAACACAGAACACACATGCAGAGGTGAACACAGAACACACATGCAGAGGTGAACACAGAACACACATGCAGAGGTGAACACAGAACACACACACAGAGGTGAACACAGAACACACATGCAGAGATGAACACAAGACAACATTAGCACGACCAGTAATCCTACAAGCTGTCAGACATGGTAGGTGATGACGTAGGCCTACTTCTTCCTCTCTGGTTGAGTCTGTGATTAGCTGCTTGCATCCACAAGTCAACAGAAAGTCTCTGTTGTCATCTTAGACAAGGATGTAATCAAATAAGTATGTGAACATAACCAATAACCTACCATAGCCAATAACAAATGAATGTAACTTATTTTATTTGTGTTGTTCATTCATATCTTATTTTACCTTAACATTTATTTATTTATGCATTTTTTTATCTCTCCAGTTTTAAAGGATATGTTTGGTTACTGTCCTATAGTATACATTGGAATGATTTCAAACCTGTTTATCCCAATAATTATAAAGGAGTGCCTTGGAAATATGTGTTTACATAAATTGTGACCAAACCGTTTGAACTTAGACTAAAGTGAACTATCTAAACACTCAGAGTCCTTTACCTCACTGAGCTGTAGTTATCAGCCTCTCAGTCTGACTGGAGAGGACTCTTCCCTCCACATCACTGTAGAAACATCTTCTTCTTCCGTTAGAGCAGCTAGCACCAGATGCTAATAACAACAGCGCCGGTACCGGTGCACCCTCCCTCTCTCCCTCTCTCCCTCGCTCACTCACTCACTCGCACTTTGGCTGTGAGCTGCGGGCGCCAGATAAGCCAACATCCCCCACTTTCATCACTTACAGCGCCCATCGTACAGGGCAAATGAAACGTGTACCCGGGGTGAAAAGGGTGTTACATTTTCTTAATTATAATATCGTTACATCAAGGCCGAAAATTAGGATGAGCCCCAACGGTCAAAAATGTTTGTTTCCCTCCCAGAGCTGCCAGCGCAGCGCCTCCACAGATCTGGCGCCCTAGGCGAACATCTATTACGCCAGGGCTACGGGCCGGCTATGAGTTCATATCATAGGTTCATATGCAACTCGCAAATATATTTCTCTCTCTCTCTCCTCTCTTTTCTCTCTCCTCTCTTTTCTCTCTCCTCTCTTTTCTCTCTCCCTTCTCTTCTCCCTTCTGATCATAGGTTTGATGCATTTCAGCAAACAATGAGCAGATGTGTCAGCAGCGTTAAGCATGTGTCTTCGGGGCAGGGATATCCAGAGTGTTCCTGCTGGAGGTGAATCAGAAGGTGATCATCTCTAAAGGTGCGGCTCTGCTTTTATTGAGATTACTAACACTCTGAATCAGTCCCAGCCGTGTGTCCTGACCTGCCTCTGATCCTCACAGAACAAACCTTATTGCAGCTTATGCAAAGCAAAGAGAGAGAAGTGAAATTTAAAGAAGATTTAATGTTCTGGTTTAATTACAGGGGCGCGTCTCGGGATTTATGTTGCCACCAGAACTTAATTCCTACCCAGAGGGAAAATGATTCACTTGGTAAGGAGAACGGGTTATTTAGACACTGAGATGACTAGTCTGTGGATGAGGGGGCTTTTAGTTTGAAAAACTCCTCCAAAAGGTGGAAGTGTGTGCAAGTTAAAGGTATCCTAGAACACTATTTTTAGGCATATATTATAGGTTTCAAAATACCAACCAGGTCATTCTAGCCTCACCCCCCTCTATTTCAGCCTGTTACTAAAGAGATGACTCGGGTCTGTAGCTTTAAAACCACATCAAGGATTCTCTCTGAAACAGGATGGAGCTCAAACTCTTTCTCTCTCTCAGGTTTACCACGAGGTGACTTCCTTTTGACTTCCTGCTTCTTCACACACACTCTCTCCAGCACAGGTTAGCTCTGAGTGTTAGCATGCTAATGGGAACACAGACCATATTACTTCCACGTCTCATTGTTTCTGACAGCAACGGTTCTGATTGGCCCGTGGGGGTAAAGCCCGCCCACATTTTAGTAATGTGGTCATGACGCAGCAAATCTGGATCAGCTCCGTTGATCCCCGTTTTTAGAGACGTGGGTACGGAGGAGAAGAGAGAGGGGTTTGTTTCTGACACTTTGAGAGTCTCCTGACACACCGGGGACACACCGGGGACACACCGGGACACACGGGGGACACACCGGGACACACCGGGGGGACACCGGGGACACACCGGGGACACACGGGGGACACACCGGGACACACCGGGGACACACGGGGACACACCGGGGACACACGGTGATGTAGAGAAGACATCAGAAAGTGAGTTTTGCATGATAGGAGACCTTTAACCCTCTGGAGTCGGTGCACATTATTTACGTATTTAATCATAGATTTTCGCTTGTAAGGAGTATAAATATGATTCAGATATCTGCGGAATCGCTAGAATCGTAGCTTTTCAAGAGTATCTCCTGTGAGACTGTACCCAGGGCACAGCAGCCAATATTGCCGCTCAAAGCAGCTTGATTCGGCGTTACACTGTGTGTGATTGGTGGATTTGTGTGTCAGTCAAGGACATCTCGGCCGGCCGGCAGCCATGTCGGTCTGAAATGACCAATGGACACTCTAGAAATCTAAGGACCTACCCACCAATAAAAAAACATATAACAGTTGTCTCCCATCAGTTTCAGTCTTTTAGTCTGTGAAGAAGATAGAGAAAATGGCTCCAAGGAACTTTACCGTTGCGGACGCCCTGGATTTTATTTTTGCGAGCGGCAGTGAAGAAGATGGCTCATCAGAACCTGAAGGCTTCGACTCTTCTTCTTCTGAAGAATACAGGGACAGCAGGGATCCATTTGAGGAGGGGTAAGTGTAAATATAACTTGTAGTGCATTTGCCATTTTGTGAGGAGTACCGCGAAAATGAACAATGGATTTATCAACCTTTTTATTTTCCCCTCATGAACTTTTTCTCGGGACAAAATAGACTCTTGATTAGTAAACGTTTACTCTGTGTAAATGTTATTTATGTGTAAACGTTATTTTGGCATGTATAAGTAAGGTTACATGTGTAGATGAATAAAAAGAATCCTTTATTCGTCCCACAACGGAGACATTTATAGACATGTATTTTATTTGATCATACTGTTCTGTACAGATGAGACTTTGTCATAGACTTATTTACACGTGTGTCTGTGATAAACTTTATGTGTAAACGTTATTTTGGTGTGTATAAGTAAGGTTACATGTGTAGATGCATGAGATAATCCTTTATTTGTCCCACAACGGAGACATTTAATTTATTTATATGTGTGCCTGCCATTTGTGTGTGTGTGTGTGTGTGTGTGTGTGTGTGTGTGTGTGTGTGTTTGGAACTTCGTAATAATTATTGTCCCACAATTTGTATTTGTTTTACAGAGAGGTTTCACAGCTGCCTGGGCCTAGCGGCCCACAGATGACATTTATCCAGGAGCCTCCAGCTGTGCCTGCCACCATGTTGAGATCTACCGTGGATCAAGGGCCTTCACCACTGCCATCCCCACCAAGCACCAGCATCACGACAGCTGCCTCCATCTCTGCCTGCGACGAGGTCAAGATACACCTCAGCTCCACCACAGCCACAGCCATCACCATCAACCCGGACAGCAAAGAGGTCTCGTAGAGCACACGTACCTCCCACACAGCCACCAGCTGCCCATGCACCATCACCCCCACCTGCACAGCAGCCAGCTCCACTGTCTTGGAAGACAGGCGAAGACCCTGACACTGCTCCCCCTATCTCCAGGTTTCAACCTGCTCGCACACCCGGGCCACAGCTCAGCTCAACAGTATCAAACAAACCCCTTGACCTGTTCAAGCTGTTCTTCAGTGCACTAACAGTACAGACACTCTGTACCAACACAAACAAGCGGGCTGCACAGGAGATGGGAAAGGGTAAAACCTACAAATGGACTGACTTGACTGTAGAGGATTTCTATAAATACATGGGGCTGCTGAAACTGGACAATGTATTGGACTACTGGAGGAAGGATCATTTTGTCAGTGTATAATGAATAGTTGGTTGAAGGAAAAAAAGTTCTGATGTTCAATATTGTAAATAGTGAGATTTTGCAGTTATATTTATATACATTGTTGGTATTATAATAAATTGTTGGTTGAAAAAAAAAGTTCTAATGCTCAATTCTTTTTTTTGTACACATCACATGAACCTTGTTATGTATTATGAAGTCATTCAGTCCTGATATATCTCAGCCCCTGCTGTGGTGAAAGTAGAGTGATTGACAGCTGTTTTACTCAGAATGCGAATTTATAAAATTTCATTTTATACATGAATAACACATTTATATACAGTGTAATTCAAATATTTCACTACTTTTGTAATCCTAAGACTTTGGTAAACAAATCTAAAACACCAAAACAATTCGATCACATGAGTAAATTTGTGTTTTCACAAGAGTTTTGAAGATTTTCCGAAAATCGGATGTCAAATTTTAAGCTTTTGAGCTACTTATCTCATCAAACAGTGCTCTAAGATGAGTAATTTGCATATATAGCAATACTAGAGATTGTCCTGAACATTTTGATATGTAACACATGGGTGCCATTTTAGAAGAAATACATTTAAAAGGTGATTTAAGAAAACGTCTAAAAATCGAGAAAATACCCTTAGACTCCAGAGGGTTAAAGCAGGGGTGGGGAACCTCCGGCCCCCGGGCCGTATACGGCCCGCGAGACCATTTGGTTTGGCCCTCGAGGTAATTTATAAACACACGCAAAAAATTAAAGAAATCTAGACCGCAAAATAATTAAACAAGTGAGTGCCTGCTTTTCCTGGCAACGGTCATGGTCCTTGAACACAACACGTGTCATCACGTGGTGTATGTCTCGTCTGACAGGGATGCAGTTCTGACGGAGAGCACCGGAACACCGCTCCGGGAATTCAAAAATTGCAGTACCCATAAATCCGTACACATGCCGCAGTTTGTGCGTGGCTGTGTCTTTAGTTGAAAGCCCAGTGGCGATCTGTTCATCTGTCATACAGTCAATAACTTTGTTGTTATTAGCATCTGGTTAGCTAGCTATGCTAACGAATATAAGAAGCTTTTTCTCCAACCAGTGAGGTAAATGCCCATCTTTATATGATCATTATAGTTATAAAAAAACAAGAGAATAAAGTAAACAGGTATAAAATACTATATGACAGTAATGTTATTCATAAACAAGAATACAGTTTGAAAGAGGAGTGATTTGTAAAATATCCATAAAGAAAAAGTAAATCTGTTTACAGTTCTGTTTCATCTGGGTGTTGAGAGATGTTTCCATAGAGCTCCTATGTTGCTCTCAAAGTGCACCAGATTGATGCTTTTAACTTCAATATTTTAAAAAAAAATCTTCCCGGGGGACCGGACCCCCCTAGAGGAGGTTAGGTCCCTCCTAGAGGAGGTTAGGTCCCCCCTGGAGGAGGTTAGGTCCCTCCTAGAGGAGGTTAGGTCCCTCCTAGAGGAGGTTAGGTCCCCCCTGGAGGAGGTTAGGTCCCCCCTGGAGGAGGTTAGGTCCCTCCTAGAGGAGGTTAGGTCCCTCCTAGAGGAGGTTAGGTCCCCCCTGGAGGAGGTTAGGTCCCCCCTGGAGGAGGTAAGGACCCCCCTAGAGGAGGTTAGGTCCCCCCCCACTTAAATCATGTTCACATGGATAGGAAACTAAATACATTTGCACACATCTTGTGTCCATATCTTTCTGTGTGGTGGTCATGCCACACCTTGCACGAGTCATGGCAAGATATCTGGATTCAGAGGTTGCTTTTTCTTTGCACAGAATGAAAGAAAGGCCAACTGAATGGGCTGTGATTTTTAAGCAGAGGTCAATAATTTGTACGGCCCTCGGAGGATGTTGAAAAAATTGAAATGGGCCTTGAGACGAAAAAGGTTCCCCACCCCTGCTTTAAAGGATGAGGTGTGTGTAAGTCAGCAGGTGGAGGTGTGTAAGTCAGTGTGTGTGTGTGTGTGTGTGTGTGTGTGTGTGTGTGTGTGTGTGTGTGTGTGTGTGTGTGTGTGTGTGTGTGTGTGTGTACCTGCAGTTGGCTGGAGCAGCGTCCCGGCGGCTCGGGGGGGATTCTGATGGCGTCGGGGGACATGTTCCTCACTTTCTCCGAGAAAAGAGCTGAAGGAGAGACACATACAAACGTGAGGAGTTGTTGTTGTACAAATACAATACAAATCAGTATTTCAAAAAGTAGGGTATGCACGATACGGCACGATACGGCACGATATTTGGATTTGTTTTTACAGGAACTGTCATCTGTTTTTCATCGTCCTCTGTTTCTCAAATCTTAAAGCACATTGTATACGTTAGACATGTTTTAATGGCATGTCTTTACATGCGTATATGTTTTCACTTCAGAGACTTCCCCCTTGAGCATGCCTTTACATGCAGAGTGAGGATTACCTAAGAAAAGACTGATAGTAGAAACAGAGGAACATTAGGGAGGCACAATATCTGCAATATGGAAACATGTTTGCATGATTTTCAAAGCTGTTTTAAGCCCAATGTCTTATTTTGTATTTTAAATAAGGGATTTTTTTTTTTAGATCAATTGACATTTCAACTGGTTTATAGGAGTGTGTGTGTGTTGAGAGCAGGGAGGGGCTGCTGGGGCGTGTGAGGAGGACGAGGGAGGAGGTGAGGAGGGAGGAGGTGAGAAGGGAGGATCCTCACCTCCTCCCTTCGACCCAGCCCTTGTTTTGCTGCTTCACTTTCTCTGTCTGCGGGCCAGGAATACTTCAGTGACACTAAACAACCAAATCAGAGCCATCAATCACCATGTGTGTATAAGGGCTGTGTGTGTGTGTGTGTGTGTGTGTGTGTGTGTGTGTGTGTGTGTGTGTGTGTACACGAACTTGACGGGACATGAGCAGATGCTTTTCTGAAGCGTTGTCTTTTAGGTGAACGGGATTTTTTGTGTTTTGTCATAAATATTGTTACAGTTTGAGCTAAATGCTAGCCCAAATAAGGGCACCATTAATCCTACCTTTTAGTGTTTTTACTTAAACAGGTTTTGAAACCGTGGGGGAAACAGGCATTTGACAGACTGTGCCCATGTTTAATATGGCCAAATAACAGTGTAACGGTGTGGGTATAATAAGAGTAACATGGGTATAATAAGAGTAACATGGGTATAATAAGAGTGTAACATGGAGTAACATGGGTATAATAAGAGTAACATGGGTATAATAAGAGGTAACATGGGTATAATAAGAGTGTAACATGGGTATAATAAGAGTAACATGGGTATAATAAGAGTGTAACATGGGTATAATAAGAGTGTAACATGGGTATAATAAGAGTGTAACATGGGTATAATAAGAGTGTAACATGGGTATAATAAGAGTAACATGGGTATAATAAGAGTGTAACATGGGTATAATAAGAGTGTAACATGGGTATAATAAGAGTGTAACATGGGTATAATAAGAGTAACATGGGTATAATAAGAGTGTAACAGGGTATAATAAGAGTGTAACATGGGTATAATAAGAGTGTAACATGGAGTAACATGGGTATAATAAGAGTGTAACATGGGTATAATAAGAGTGTAACATGGAGTAACATGGGTAATAATAAGAGTGTAACGGGTATAATAAGAGTGTAACCATGGAGTAACATGGGTATAATAAGAATTGTAACAGGTGTAATATAAGAGTGTAACATGGGTATAATAAGAGTGTAACATGGGTATAATAAGAGTGTAACATGGGTATAATAGAGTGTAACATGGGTATAATAAGAGTGTAACATGGGGTATAATAAGAGTGTAACATGGGTATAATAAGAGTGTAACAGGGTATAATAAGAGTGTAACATGGAGTAACATGGGTATAATAAGAGTGTAACATGGGTATAATAAGAGTGTAACATGGAGTAACATGGGTATAATAAGAGTGTAACATGGGTATAATAAGAGTGTAACAGGGAGTAACATGGGTATAATAAGAGTGTAACATGGAGTAACATGGGTATAATAAGAGTGTAACAGGGTATAATAAGAGTGTAACATGGAGTAACATGGGTATAATAAGAGTGTAACATGGGTATAATAAGAGTGTAACATGGGTATAATAAGAGTGTAACAGGGTATAATAAGAGTGTAACATGGAGTAACATGGGTATAATAAGAGTGTAACAGGGTATAATAAGAGTGTAACATGGAGTAACATGGGTATAATAAGAGTGTAACAGGGTATAATAAGAGTGTAACATGGGTATAATAAGAGTGTAACAGCGTATAATAAGAGTGTAACATGGGTATAATAAGAGTGTAACATGGGTATAATAAGAGTGTAACATGGAGTAACATGGGTATAATAAGAGTGTAACATGGGTATAATAAGAGTGTAACATGGAGTAACATGGGTATAATAAGAGTAACATGGGTATAATAAGAGTGTAACATGGAGTAACATGGGTATAATAAGAGTGTAACATGGGTATAATAAGAGTGTAACATGGGTATAATAAGAGTGTAACAGGGTATAATAAGAGTGTAACATGGAGTAACATGGGTATAATAAGAGTGTAACATGGGTATAATAAGAGTGTAACATGGAGTAACATGGGTATAATAAGAGTGTAACATGGGTATAATAAGAGTGTAACATGGGTATAATAAGAGTGTAACAGGGTATAATAAGAGTGTAACAGGGTATAATAAGAGTGTAACATGGAGTAACATGGGTATAATAAGAGTGTAACATGGGTATAATAAGAGTGTAACATGGGTATAATAAGAGTGTAACAGGGTATAATAAGAGTGTAAATGGAGTAACATGGGTATAATAAGAGTGTAACATGGGTATAATAAGAGTGTAACATGGAGTAACATGGGTATAATAAGAGTGTAACAGGGTATAATAAGAGTGTAACATGGAGTAACATGGGTATAATAAGAGTGTAACATGGGTAATAATAAGAGTGTAACATGGAGTAACATGGGGTATAGTAATTAAGAGTAACATGGGTGATAATAAGAGTGTAACATGGAGTAACATGGGTATAATAGAGTGTAACATGGGTATAATAAGAGTGTAACATGGGTATAGATAAGAGTGTAACATGGAGTAACATGGGTATATAAGAGTGTACATGGGTATATAAGAAGGTGTAACATGGGTATAATAAGAGTGTAACATATGGGAAGTAACATGGGTATAATAATAAGAGTGTAACATGGAGTAACATGGGTATAATAAGAGTGTTAACATGGGTATAATAAGAGTGTAACATGGGTTAATAAGAGTGTAACATGGAGTAACATGGGTATAATAAGAGTGTAACATGGGTATAATAAGAGTGTAACATGGAGTAACATGGGTAAATAGAGTGTAACAGGGTATAATAAGAGTGTAACATGGAGTAACATGGGTATAATAAGAGTGTAACATGGGTATAATAAGAGTGTAACATGGAGTAACATGGGTATAATAAGAGTAACATGGGTATAATAAGAGTGTAACATGGAGTAACATGGGTATAATAAGAGTGTAACATGGGTATAATAAGAGTGTAACATGGAGAAACATGGGTATAATAAGAGTGTAACATGGGTATAATAAGAGTGTAACATGGAGTAACATGGGTATAATAAGAGTGTAACATGGGTATAATAAGGAGAAGTGTAACATGGGTAATATAAGAGTGTAACAGGGTATAATAAGAGTGTAACATGGGTATAAATAAGAGTGTAACATGGAGTAACATGGGTATAATAAGAGTGTAACATGGAGTAACATGGGTATAATAAGAGTAACATGGGTATAATAAGAGTGTAACATGGGTATAATAAGAGTGTAACATGGAGTAACATGGGTATAATAAGAGTGTAACATGGGTATAATAAGAGTGTAACAGGGTATAATAAGAGTGTAACATGGAGTAACATGGGTATAATAAGAGTGTAACATGGGTATAATAAGAGTGTAACATGGAGTAACATGGGTATAATAAGAGTGTAACATGGAGTAACATGGGTATAATAAGAGTGTAACATGGGTATAATAAGAGAGTAACATGGGTATAATAAGAGTAACATGGGTATAATAAGAGTGTAACATGGAGTAACATGGGTATAATAAGAGTGTAACATGGAGTAACATGGGTATAATAAGAGTGTAACATGGGTATAATAAGAGTGTAACATGGAGTAACATGGGCATAATAAGAGTGTAACATGGAGTAACATGGGTATAATAAGAGTGTAACATGGGTATAATAAGAGTGTAACAGGGTATAATAAGAGTGTAACATGGGTATAATAAGAGTGTAACATGGAGTAACATGGGTATAATAAGAGTGTAACAGGGTATAATAAGAGTGTAACATGGAGTAACATGGGTATAATAAGAGTGTAACAGGTATAATAAGAGTGTAACATGGAGTAACATGGGTATAATAAGAGTGTAACATGGAGTAACATGGGTATAATAAGAGTGTAACATGGGTATAATAAGAGTGTAACATGGAGTAACATGGGTATAATAAGAGTAACATGGAGTAACATGGGTATAATAAGAGTGTAACATGGGTATAATAAGAGTGTAACATGGAGTAACATGGGTATAATAAGAGTGTAACATGGAGTAACATGGGTATAATAAGAGTGTAACATGGGTATAATAAGAGTGTAACATGGAGTAACATGGGTATAATAAGAGTGTAACATGGGTATAATAAGAGTAACATGGAGTAACATGGGTATAATAAGAGTGTAACATGGAGTAACATGGGTATAATAAGAGTGTAACATGGAGTAACATGGGTATAATAAGAGTGTAACATGGTATAATAAGAGTGTAACATGGAGTAACATGGGTATAATAAGAGTGTAACATGGGTATAATAAGAGTAACATGGGTATAATAAGAGTGTAACATGGGTATAATAAGAGTGTAACATGGGTATAATAAGAGTGTAACATGGGTATAATAAGAGTGTAACATGGAGTAACATGGGTATAATAAGAGTGTAACATGGGTATAATAAGAGTGTAACAGGGTATAATAAGAGTGTAACATGGAGTAACATGGGTATAATAAGAGTGTAACAGGGTATAATAAGAGTGTAACATGGAGTAACATGGGTATAATAAGAGTGTAACATGGGTATAATAAGAGTGTAACATGGGTATAATAAGAGTGTAACATGGAGTAACATGGGTATAATAAGAGTGTAACAGGGTATAATAAGAGTGTAACATGGAGTAACATGGGTATAATAAGAGTGTAACAGGGTATAATAAGAGTGTAACATGGGTATAATAAGAGTGTAACATGGGTATAATAAGAGTGTAACATGGGTATAATAAGAGTGTAACATGGGTATAATAAGAGTGTAACATGGAGTAACATGGGTATAATAAGAGTGTAACAGGGTATAATAAGAGTGTAACATGGGTATAATAAGAGTGTAACATGGAGTGATACAGGTGTTATAACAGTAATGTAAAAAATATCAATCAATTCCATTTCCAAAAGCTTGGAAATGGTGTCTTTTGCAGATAAAGGTTAATAAAGCTGGCAGCGCTATGCAAGGTAACAGCATATTTACGCTTTAACCGGAAGTACCAACACAAAAGTGGTCAATGTGGAAGCACCACAACGCAGGCGAAGAATATGGCGACACACTTTTTACACACACACACACACTTTACAGTTTGGACCACAGAGAAGCTCCCTGACCTCCTTTATTCTGGAAAGTTAAGACCCCTCCATCAAATGAGGAGCAGGGCGT